ACTTTTAATTGTCAAATAAAAGGCTTTGTTTTCTGTTGAAGAAAGGGTCTTCAGATATCTTAGAATCACTGTAAGAAGTCAGACTCAGTAAAGTTGAAGTTCAGATTCAATCAGGGCATCTTCCAAGCCAGAGATTCACTTTAGCCTCTTGGGTACCCTAGGCGATCGTGAAGGGCAGACCCCTCAATGAAAGCTTGTGGGGCAGAGTTGAGCTCAGGTAGAGGGGCTGTCAAGGAGTCAAGCTTATGCAAATATTAACCATTGTCCAGTCAAAGGTAATTAAAGTTGTCACTTTATTGACAGTTTTAAACCAATTGGGATAATTAGATCTTTAGGGATAGTTAGAATTCATAAACATGGATTGTTGACCCCTGAATGTCATGTCTGGTTATCTGAAGCATTAAAAAAAAAAAAAAAAAGCTTCTTTGAAAAGCCAGTGCAGACTTTGCTTCATATAGAAAGAACCCAATACTGGAATCTTAACACCAAGGTAAGTATCACATTTAGTGCCCTCCACACCTTTCACCTTACCCTACACTATGGGCTGCTTCCAAGAAGTTTTATTCTAAATCTCATTGAGAGATCTGGGATGGAAGAATTGCAAGGCAAGAGAAATGGCTGTTCCCGGTGTACTGGAATCCGAGGCACAGAAGGTTAGTACACATCAAGTGCTTCTGGTGGAATTGCTGGCCAACTCAACATTAGAACTCAAGAGCTCCCAGTGCCCAGATTCAAATTACTAGGCTGTCTCCTTCCAAAAACAGCAAATCCCCAGACATCTCTAGCATTCCCTGAGGTTACAAAACACAGGCCACTAAGGTCAAATAAGTTCTGTTCCTTCTACACATCTTCTCCCCCGAGAAGCCCTTTCTTCCCCTTTCGACCAGCGAATGTGATAGGTTGTGTGCTATAGGTTACAATTCTCCGCTGGTTTCATTCTGTGAATTTTCTCAAGGTATGTATAGATGATAGTGAGATACCATCTACGTCTCTAACACATTTTTTCATGTTTTCACATCTAAGCATGACAATCTGCAGACCATGAGACCAAGGTTCTTGACTTTTGCAACTCTGGCACCAGCACTGTCACTGTGTAATAATAATGAGAGCTTGAGTTTCACATGTACTTACTCTAAGTTAGATAACATGTTTATACATTTATCTCATGTCTTTCTCAAATTTAAGCGGCTAATAATTGGTGGAACCTGGTTCAAAGTCAGGTCTGTTTGACTACGAAGAATATGTTCTTACTTACTGCATTATATTGCACTGCCAATATGCCACACTACGATGCATGTATGCATGTATGTGTATTATATGCCACACATATGTACTGTGTATGTAAGTATGTATATATGCATGTAGTATTTCATTGTGTCTCATAAATATCTTGAAATGGAGTTTTTATATATCCTGAATAATTTCTGATTTGGAAGGTGACAATATTCATAAGAGTAATGTGACTTGAAACCAAAATTTGAATAGGAATGTCTGGTGAAAGGTCAACGACAAGGTCTAAATGTGTTCTCTCACAAAACACTCCATCTTTTTTTAGTTTCCATGCTGTCTAACCCACGTGTACCGATTTTTCAAAAGCCTGTATTATGGATAAATATTTGTTGCACAACATTCATAAAATTGTTTTCACATCTTTTGTACTGTCATCCGATTGCCCGGAACCATGTCCTGTGACTAACTAAAATGATCAAACTGTGTTTTTCAGGAGGCACTTGGTTTCAATGTGCTTATGAAATTATTTTAAGTCAGAAATGGAAATACTGAACAAATGAAAAACTAAACAAAACACACTCAAATGAGAGGTCAGATCGGCTTCTTTCCATCCAGTCTCTATGTACAATGCAAAATAGACTCCCAGTGACCAAAACAGCTATGACATCTTGGCAGCATGGGAAAATGTCATCAAAACTCTATCATGTTGATTCCACAGTGGTTAAACAGGCACCACTGCAGAATGTTTGGCCTCTCCAAAGGCGCACTGGGGAAGAACAGCTGTTGCTCTCTCCCAGATAAAGTGACATGTTATAGGAGAAGAAGAGTCCTAATTAGGTAGAAATGAATCCCCCTTCCATCCAGCCCATTCGAAAACAATAACATTGCTAGGAAATTTCCAAATGTGATAAGAAAAATATGGAATTTGTTTTGGATACAGTGATTGCCTCAGTTTCATAGAATACATTTTTCTTCTGCTTTATAATACTGAGAACCATTTTAAAAACCTATAGCATGTACAGTGAATTCATACCTTTACATTTGAGTATTTCTTAAATATGTTTACATGAAATGCATTAAACACAATGTCAAAGTTTTAGTATACTAGAATTTATTTAATATCTAAAGTATTTTGAATGTACTTACGCAAAAGTACGTTAAAGAAAATGTCAATGCTTTAGTCAATATCTGAAGTGTCATATGGCAAACTTACATCCTCATTGTCATTTTGTATGTATTTAATGTACTATTTACTGGTAACAATGCATTTTGGCCACAAGAAAGAAAGCAACAGAGGAATCATGAAATCCTATACATAATCCTATACATTGCAGTTTAATTTATATAAAAATATATCCTTTAGGGAATACAAGGGGTTAAAACGATGGTTTTAATTGTACAGGTTTTTTTTTTTATACGTATTTATCTCTCAAAGATAACTAAAGCTAAATACAATTGGAAAAATTCACAAACCAGTGAGGTATTACTATCAAAAGAATACAGGAACTCTTAAGATAAAAATAAATGTAAGAAAAACAAATTAAAATCTAAGAAAAATAAATCTAAATAATTACATTATTAGGATTACATAACCCATCCAGAGATTCAAAACTATCATTTTACCATGAGGTCACTGGTTATTTTTGTCTGGGTCTTGTATAACATTCACTCATTCAATATATTCAACAAGTAATTTTTGAACTCTCTCTTTGCTCTAGGGAATGTATTTGACCCTAAGAAAACATTAGAAAACAAAGCAGACATAGACCCTGCCCTCACAGAGCTTACAGTCTTGTGGAGCAGATAGACGAGAACATAAGCATCTATAATACAACACAAGTGCTATGCTGAGGCCTCCCATCCTAGAGGAAGCAACATCCATGCTGAGATCTGTAGGATAAAGGGGTGGAGTGGGAAAGAAAGAGATGGAAGAGGATTCCAAGCAGAGGGAGAAGAAAATGCAAAGACCCCAAAGTATAAGAGAGCATGGTCTATCCTAGCAGTGGTCCCCAAACAAAGAACTTCAGATACTTGTTGGGCCAGAATGAAATTTTCACCCATCAATGGGGAAATAAGAGCAGTGTGGTAAGCCTTTTCAAAGCTAAAGTCATTCAATTTTGATAATTGAGTTTGGCCGCCTTATTTTCTGGCATTAAAAGAGTGGTGATAGTCAATGATATATATATGTGTGTGTATATATATATATATATTTCAATAAATGACCCTATTTTAAAATTAGTAAAATAAAAACTACTGGTCTATAGATTTTATATAAGTCTGGGAATCACTGATCAAAGAATATACTTCTAAAAGGTGTTTAGTATGGTTAAAGCAGAGGGATGAGGGAGACCTCAAGGGATTAGGCTAAGGAGCAAGGCAGGGAGTGAGATCATGAAGGGCCATGGGAGAATTTTGGACTTTATTCAAAGAGCAATGAGATTGATTTTAAGTGGGGGAGTGAAGCTGTACTTATACTTGTAAAAGATCAATCTGGGATGTTGTGTGTAGAATACATGTTGGATGGGGCAAGGCATTAGGAAGGGAGGCCAGTTAGGTGGTATTACAGAAAAAGGAGAATAGCTGGAATTAGGGCCAAAATAGTGAGACTGAATAGAAGATGACGTCAAGAGATAAACTTACCAGGATTTGGTGACCTGTTATAATGGGTAAGGAAAATGGGATGGTCAAGGCTGATGTCCAGGCTTTTGATTTGGGAAACTGAATTGGAAATTGTGCTAACTATTGAGCCAGAGAATGTAAGAGGAGGAGGCTTTCCGTGGAGGGTGACAGCGAGTTCATTTGGGACATGCTGAATTTGAGCTGTCTTTGTGTTTGAATGTGCATTAGGCCAATTGTCTACACAGGTCTCAAGTACATGAGAGAATTCGAATATAAATTTTGTAGTCAATAGCATATAGAAAGTAATTGAAACCATGGACATGGATGAGATTTCCCAGAGAACATAGCATAAGAAGAGGATAGGGCTTAAGACATATTACTAGGGCTGATAGGAGATTGGAAATGCAGAAAGAAGCCAGAGACAGAGCAGTCTGGAGGTGGGAGGAGAGCTCAGAGAGCAAGGTGCCATGAAAAGCAAGGGAAGAGCTTTCCAAAGAGGGAGCAGATTATAGTGTGTGAATCTGCAGGCAGGAAGGACCTCTTTCATCCAGTGTGGCCATGAAAGAAAGGAAGAACAGGCCAGCAATTGGCTAAAATGTGGGTTTGAGAAAGTGGTTCTTTGTTTTATTAAGATAGGAGAGACTTGTTCATAGATATTGTAGGAACCACTTGATAGGGAGTTTGAAGACTTGTTGCAAGTGAAGATAATCAACAGAAATGCAAATACAAAGTACTGACTTGCTTGAAAAAATTACAGTGTAAACAGATAGTTATGGGGGTGATGGGTGGAAAGGGTGAAGGGAAATATAGTTAATAATGTTGTGATAAGTTTGCACAGTGACAGAAGGTTACTAGAATTAGTGGAGTGATTGCATCATAAGGCATAAAAATGTCGAGTCACTCTATTGTACACCTGAAACTAATACAAATAATATAATAATGTATACTAACTATACTTAAACTTTAAAAATCACAATGTAAAGGTCTTTAAAGATGTAAAATGTGGTGTTCCCATAAGAATATAGGATCTCGTTATAAAATTGTCAATAGATATAAATACACTTAAGGATGTAAAATAATTTCAAGAAATTCTCTGAGGGAATCCCATTTAAAAACATTTTAAAATGACGTTTTTAAATATTATCTTTAAATTATGGCAATTTTAGCTCTTGTCCATAGAGATCATACTCTTTAAATAATATATATCTTTGAATAGATGGTGGTAGAGGAAGCTTCTCCACTGAGGCTGGCTGGCAGAGTCGCTGGAGTCCCATAAGTCTTCGAATTTTTAACCGACACAAATGCTTTAATGAGCAAGGATTTTCTAAGATGAATAGGAAAAGCAAGCAAAAAATAAAACAACATTAGTGGATTGACCTGTAAGATACAGACTGTTTAGAATCACATTAATAGTGTCTTTCTGAAAAATAGGTATTCACACATTAGCAACTGGTGAAATTCAAATTCCAATTGTAATTAAGCCTTCCAGACCATTCCTCTAGAATGGAAGCTCCAGGAAGGTAGACATTTAGTCTGTCTCTGTGTTGGAAGATAGTCTGGCTCATCGGGGGTGTTCATCTAGGATATATTAAATGAATGCATTCCCTTGATTTAAGAAAGTAAGTACTCACATCTCCTTCTACTTATCTTTTAGAATGGAGTATCACAGAGATATATTTCTTCACTTTCTCTCTAGTCTACCAATCTTTCTGATGAATAATTATCCAGGAAACATTTGATGCAAATGTTTCCATATGTCCATTATTCATTCTTAGGTTTATTTCAGTGTCTGATACCTAAACAGTTTATATTTTCCCCCAAATCTTTAAAGCTTACTTAAATATCTTATTTAGTCTATTTTCAACCCTCGCTTTATCTATATTACAGTTATAGTTCTGATGCATTATCTCAGGAATGTAAGTTAGCAAAAGTGTAACGTAGCACACAGGCTCAGCGGTAAGCTCTGGACTTGGTCAACTTGGATTAAAATCCTGTCTCTGCCACTTAGCATTTGTGTAACCTTGAACGAGTTACTTAACCTCTGTGAGCTCAGTATTCTCACCTGTGAAATGTGAATAAGAATGAGACCTACCTCTCATGGTTGCTTGAAGATCAAACAAATTAATTTATGGAAAGTATTAGAAAAGTGGTTGGTATCTTGTAACCATTCTATAATGTGAACTATCACTCAATTCAGTAATAAAAAAATCACATTTCTATTACATTTGAGATTATAAACATTCAAATAATCTTTTTTACAATATGAAAACAATGGTTTTCAAAAATTATCAAGGCAAAATATTGTTACCAAAAGAGGCAGAACAAACTCATCTTTAAAAAAAAAAAATACCATTTGATTTTCTTCCCTAACAAAGATACTGCCTTACATATACCTGGAAGAATCCTGACATCCAGTGGTTAACCACGCTCATAGCAATCAATTGACACACCAGTTCAAACAACGTATGACTGAAACAACAAAAATCTTCCTCCTTTCGTTCTTGGATTGCCTTTCTAAAGTCATAAAAATTGGTCATTCTTTTGTAGTACAAACACATGGGCAATTAATTACCAATTAGTATCAAAATCTGCCCTATGACAGGAAGCAGAGTGATATTGGAGAAAGAGCCTTTGTTTTGACGTGAGATAGACAAGGGTTCAAATCCTTGCTTTGTTATTTTCTATGCCTATAACTTTGGGAAATAAATTTATGTCAGTTTTAGGTCTTTTGCCCTTATTATCTCTAAAATGTTTTAATATTTTTATTATTTAATAAAATATAAATAGAGCAACTACACAAATGTATAGTTTCTTAAGTTATTAGTGATTATTAGGTGAACATCTTTCACATCTTTCCCAGCTACCCCAGAATTCTCTGTACAATCCATCTCAAGCTTCATGTCTTCCTCCCTATAAGGAACTACTATTCCAACTTCTATAGTAATCACTTCTTTCAAGCTTCATCATCTCAGTGTGCTATCTCTACACTATCGTATTAACAATATATTTTTTAATTTGTTATGCTTATTTCTATTTTTTCTTATAATAAATTTATATGGGATTTGACTGATACTTTTCTGTTGTTCATTTTTATATTTAATTTAGTTTTCTTGAATTTCTAGCAGGAAGTGAGGTTCAAGATAACTCTTCTAAGTTTACAGAGCTTCCTATTCTGTGGTCTTTTCGCAATGATCCAAAATAAGGTGGCTGGCTCCCTGAGGAACCCTGGTTTCATTTGCCAGCTCCACTTTTACGTGGACTCTCCCTTGTCTCTGTCCTGCTTAATTTTGATTTCACTCTCAATGTGAGCTTCAGTTCAGAAAGGGAGGCCTGATAGGCCAGTTTCATGAATTCATGGAGTTCACACTGTTTTATAATTCTCCTTTCCATAGTTTTTATTTACAAAAATTAGCATGATAACACACAACTCTACAAGTTGTGAGGATTTCATGACATACTTTATATGTACATTTCATACTTCTTATAAAATTATCATGTAATAAAAATGATATGAAAACACTAATATTTTAGTTTTTAAAATAGCTAAATTTATTAGGTGTTTTTAATGTTCTAGGTAGTATGCTAAGCACTTTACATGTATCACCTCTTTAAATTCCCACAATGACATATGAAGTAACTACGGGTCTGAGCCCTATTCTGCAGTGGGAAAACCTGGGCATAATAAGGGTAAGGAATTTTCTCAAAGTCACACAGCTAGCAAGACTATCTTGGTTTTTTTGTCAGGAAATAAAATTTCCCCTCTCCTCAATAAAACAAAAATGACATAATAAATTGTTGCTTTTTTACATGAAAATATCAGCCCTGAATGAGACATGTACTACATAACCCAGCAATCCAACTCCTAGGCAAGGCCAGAATTCCATTCCATCTCAGGTCTGTCTGACTCCAGAGGTCAATTTCTAAGCTCATGATACTATGTTATTCATCAGGTTCTCTAAGATTCCTGTTTTAGTTGTCATGAAGTCTCTTCTATTATAGAACCCATTCTAGGAGAAGAGCCATTTGAGGAAAATTCAAGCTTATCTCCAAATCTGCATTGGGTTGAACTATCCCTCTTTCTAGCCAATCAGTCTCCCTCCTTCCCACCAACCTACATCTCTCGTTACCATGGTCAGAATAGTCCAAATTCAGATGGATTAATCTAATGTATGAAACTCTGATTAAAACTAAATGCTTAACTGAAAACCACTATATCACTCATTTCTTTTTTATAGAACTTTATACCTAACAAATTTGGTATGTGAAACAGCTCAACATTTCAGTTTCATCTTCTGGCTATAAAATGTAATCTACCTAATTTGCATAAAATTTGCCTGATCTCAAAGAATAGGCTGTTGAGCTTTTGTTATCTCATTCAATTATGATTTAGGTGTATTAAGAGTGCCAGGATACTTAAATGTAATGTAAAGTCCTATGATGCTTCTTTAGGTTCCATAAAATTGATGTCCAAGTAGGTTTTGCAAATTCATTTTTCTAAATTTATATTTTGAAAGAGAAAGCCTCTTCAATCTATGATTTTTTTCTAGTTCCTATTTGTATTTGGAGTAATTTTAGATTCAGTTTATTGAAACTTTTGTAATATGATTCACTTTTATGTTTATAACCAAATATCAGCCTGTAGAACACAAAATATCCTGTCTGTAATACAAACTTTTGATGGTAAGAATTTGTCAAGAAAAACTTGAGAGAGACTATCAAAAAAGATAATCCTAATTCATTCCATTCATTCATTTATTTGGTATTTATTATTTACCACTTACTACACATTACAGTAAGCCTTGAGATTACAAAAGTAAACAAAATAAAACCTTGCCTATGTAGAGAATATGGTCTACATACTTTATGATATTATAGAATTTAACTTTAAAATAATGAGTTCTATTCAGATGTTAATATAGTTATAATATTACCCATATACATTAAGGAGTTGGAAATTATAAAAAAAAAAGCAAGAAAGTAGTTAGTATCTTACATCAGAGAAAGTGTTAAGGATGATTTTTAACAAAAGATAATTCTGAAAATAAAGGAACACTGAAAAAGTATCAAGGATGACATGAAGACACTTCCCCTATAGACATTCTTCATAAAAAATTTTGTAGGCAAAATTTTTGTTTTTACCTAGTATTTGACGGATTTCTGGCCATTCTCTCTGTACCTCCAGTGCAGACTTCAGTTTAGCGCACAGAGGGATATAATCCATGTAATCCAGTAATATACGGATAACGCTTCCTACCAAGTGTTTCATCCAGGGAACTGTAATAAACTCACAGAACTGAGAGAATGGATATAATTTAATTTAGCAGTACTTTAAATATACCATATACATAAACACTTAATTTTGTTATGAAAATTACTATCTTTGTCTTTTGACAAGAAATAAAAGATCTCTTCTTGTAATGAACAACAACAAAAAAGTAGTTAGCTTGTTTCGGTGAAGCTATGAGCTCTGGAGCTGCAAGCATGGCTCTAATATAGTTGTAGTCATCATGCTAAGCAAAATAAGCCAGACAGAAAAAGTTGAAAATCACACGATATCACTTATATGTGGGATATAAACCTAAAGGCAACAAATGAAAAGGACAAACCAACAGAGACTCATGGACATGGACTCTAGACTAATGGTTATCAGAGGGTAGCAGGAAGGGGGAAGAGGCAGGTAGATGGGGTGAAGGGGGTAAAATACATGGTGACGGGAAAAAATCTAACTATGGGAAGTGAACACATAGTGTAACCAGAGGGTAGCAGGAAGGGGGAAGGGGCAGGTAGATGGGGTGAAGGGGGTAAAATACGTTATGATGGGAAAAAATCTAACTATGGGAGGTGAACACATAGTGTAAATATATATATATATGCCTTATTGTTAAAATATACAGATGAAACTTACTGGATTTCATTAACAAATTAATAAATAATAATAATAATAAAATTGTAGTCAACAGTGTGAAAGAATCATGCTTCTTTTTATGATTCTTCTTTCCGTGCTTCTAGCCCAAATATACCACTGAATAAGCATGTTATTAACTGTAAACATTTTCGCATTCTTCTATATTCGGTTTGCCATTAAAGAAAAATAAACACCATCCTTTTTTGGCCTAGTTTTATGTTTATATGCCCATATTATTGGCAACAAAGATTCAAGAAGGAGAATAATATAAAACTTAGAGTTGATTTTTCTTATCCCGTTAAATCTCTGAGCAGAAGTTAAGGAGGATGACCCAATGCGCAGGACGAAAGGACGTAACTCACCGGGCTATCTTTTATCACACAAGATGTCCATCCCGGCAGTACTTCTTCCTCTATCTCTGACCACACAAATGAATTTCCAAAGATGTCCCCGTGCATGCAATCGAAGCACATCTCCACTTGATAGCCATTGTTCAGCAGCAGCCTCAGCATCACCTCGTCATTCAGGGCGTACTGAATGGCACTAGGGAAACGAGTGTCATTTACACGCATAAAATAACAATTGACATTTGCGCCGTGGGAGAGAAGCAGCCGGACGATTTCATGATTATTGGCCCTCACGGCCACAAGCAGACAGTTGAGGGGATCTAAGTTTGGGTTTGCGCCTGCATTCAGAAGGACTTCTGTACAATGGATATCGTTATTAGAAACAGCAAAATATAGCGCAGTCTTTCTCTCGTCGTCATAGCTCTCAGAAATGTGGTCAGCAAGCGGAGTATTGACGTCAAAACCATTTTCAATGAGCAGTTCTAGGCACTGTACATTTTGTCCATCTGCTGCTGAGTGAAGTGGTGTTAGCCCGCTTTTCCGGATTGCATTTTTGGATGTTACTGGGATGAGATATTTCAGTGCACTAAAATAAATAAATAAAAACACACATTGCATGAAGAAAATCAAGAAATGAAATAAATGAACTTCCTCACTAGACAAATGAATGCTGTTTAGTTACTTTCCTCTATTTTTGCTAGATAACATTATACAAAGACATTTAACCTTTGTCCATTGACTTACTACTATTTAGTTTAGTATAGTTTAGTTTAGTTTTAATTTGGCTTCCCATTCTAAATATTCCTGGGGATCATGCTGGATCTTATATGTTTGCTCTAGAATTGTGATCCATCAGGAATCCTCCCAATCTTCCAGTTCTTCTCTGAACAATGTAATAGTTATCAGTAACCAATGCTACTTAATGACAAATATAAAAGAAAAGTCCATCTGATGCCATAGAGGAATGCTTCATAATCTTGACCATTAGAATCATGAAATTACAGGAAGTTAGGGCTGGAAGTGACCTTGCACATCACTTAGTCCAACCCCTTCATTTAACGAAAGAGCAATATGAAGTCTGCAGAAGTGAAATGACTTGTCCAAAGTCACGCAGATGTAGAGCAAGAACTAGAATTTAGGCTTCTCGAGTTCTCATTCATCACTCCTCTTTCGCTGCTTCCTGAGCGATCGAAGCTTTAATATTGGCCACATGTGTCCTGTCCTCTTCAGTATAACTTGAAATTGAATTATTAGCCACAAGAAGAGTCTATGATTTTAGCAGCCTCGCATTATACCAATTGAGATAACTAACCACAGCTTATGTTTCTAAGAACCTGTGATAGTTGCAAATTTCACACTTGACTAACAACTAGACATGATGAGAGCCACCAGCAAGGATAACTTGATCTCTTGTGCCTAATTCAGAGCTACCATGTGTGAATTTATGACACTGGGAATAAGTCCAGGTAAACTTTAACAACATGTCACTTAGCGTCAATTATGTGTCATCGGCCACTTAGTCAATGTGGCCACTGAAAGTAATAAAGTCTAACCGTTTCAAAGTTTTTGAACTTATAAAAAATATTTAATTGCCTAAAACCATCCTCTCATGAGGATAGTTTAATATAGTGCTTATAGACTTCTATTGATGTGTCAATTGTAGCATATTTTGTGATTTAGAAATCTATCCAACCATTTCTTTTTTTGAATAAAGATATCTAAACGTATAATCAAACTTTTCTACTCAATAATATATTTGACATCATACTATAATATCCATACATATTGGTAAATAAGTGGAATAATATTGATAGTATTTTTACAAATTTGAATTCTTTGCCACAGGCAAAATTTTTTGAAACTCTGTAGCCTTTTGTTAAATATATTTTTTTAAACAGAAAGGCACATGTGGGTGGCTTCACATATAACTTCCTCCTAAAAGAAAAACTCTTTTCATTATAAATGTAATATACATTCGATGTGGAAGCTTTATAAAGCACAAGAATATAAAAAAGAAGGGGACATCAAACAAATATTCAAAAAAAAGCTTGTAAGCATTTTGCCTATTTCTTTTTGGATTTGGGGGGTTATTATATAGAGAGACATGATTATACCGTATATACAATTTTGTATTTTTCAACTTAAAGTGATCACCCCATGATTTACTACTCACAGATAATGTCCCTCGTAGGCAGCTCGATGTATAGGAAGATGCCCTGCTCTGTTAGGTACATTTCCGCTTCCTCCATATTCCAGCAGGAGGGAAATGCAGTCAGGATTGCCCCCTCCTGCTGCCTCAAACAACACCGATGCCCCATCATCCGCCAAAGCAAACACATCACCACCTGGCAGTATTAAACACATGGCATAGTGTTTAATAACTGGATGAACTGTCAAGATAGTCTCCTTAAAAATAACCCCTTGTTTTCTTTTTTGATTAGGACTTAAAATTAAAAGCATAGAATTAAGAATATGTTTTCACTATTTTAATAAACAATTATGCAGCATATTTCATTTTATTAGAAGAGCTTTACATCACGAGAACATCTGTGAAATCAGCAAGTCAATTACCATGACGGACAAATGCTTCCAGGAAAATGAATAGTTACACTTTTAAGTTTTAAGACAACAGTTAACTCTTTCATTTCGTAACTCTTTCATTTCAGGTTGTACTTTGGGGGCCTCGAAAATGTTAATCTTTTCCCCATAGAGGATGCTTGGGTGTCATGTGGTTCTAGCTTTTATTTACAGATGAGGAAACTGAGGACCAGATGTTTAAGTAACCAGACTAGGGTCGTCAGACAATGAGTAGGTGGCAGAAACCAGTTTCAGAATTCAGTCCTTTAATTCTTGGTTTTGTAGTTGTATAAAGTATTTGGAAATTTCAAAGGAGGGGCGACATCGCAATCCATTGGGCAGAATTAGAGAAAGCTTCGGGGACAAGGTGTCTCAAGAAATTGACTTTGAATTAGGTCGAATGGAATTCTAAATGAGGGCAAAGACCTGACCCAGACCCAGACAGTGGGAGTATGAGGTATGTTTGGGACACTGCTCATCTAATTTTTCTGGAGTGCGGGATACAAGTTGGGAGTAGTGAGGGATACACTTGGTAAAACATTCAGGATGATGCAGTGGGGACCTTTGCATGATTCAGTGGGCAGTGGGGAGGCACTGAGAATTTTTGAATAGTTTACAGTGTTATAGTTATCCTTCAGAAAGGGGAGATGAGTTCACTATGTAGTATATGTCCTCTGATAGGGAGACTAGAAACCTGGAGAACAGTAAGAATCGACTGCATTGGCCCAGGGAAGATGTGAGAGGGCTGCCCAGGATGCAAACCAGAGGGACTGCCAAGGTGAGAACAGGTGAGAAAAGGTGAGACAGCGCAGCACTTGGGAACTGGCTGAATTTGGAGAAGAAGGTGACAGAAGAATTAGAGATAAATCTAAACTTTCAGTCTTGGTTCAGAGAAATTATTAAATCAAAAGAGTAAAAGAAGAGGAATTTAGTTTTGAAGATGAGTATGAGACCCTGGTGAGCCAGCTGTCTATGTGAAAATTGGGCTGTCTCTAGAAAGAGTAATCAGGGCTGGGCATGTAGATGTGCAGGTAGGTCATCGGGTGCAGGGTTTGATTGAGTTGGGGCCCAGGTGGCTACCAAGGAGGTTATCAAAGGCTGAAGCCCAGTCACACTCAGGAGAGGAAGAGGAGCCAGAGAGGAATGAAGAGGAGGAAATCCGAGAGGCAGGAGAAAAGTCAGGACTGTGCAGTTCCTTTTCACGTACCCTTGTGGATGAGGTGTTCCAGCACATCATAGTGACCATACTCAGCAGCAACACCTAACGGTGTGACGCCAAAGCCATCTCTCAGGTGGACGTTGCCGCCGTGCTTCAGTAGCAGAGCTATGAGATCTTTGCGGCCTTGCTTGGCTGCTTCATGCATTGCCGACCATCGCTTGATGCAGGGCTGGTCAAGGCTGGTGTTGTATTTGAGCAAAGTGGACACCATGTCATAGGAGCCCTTTTTTACAGCTTGAAGATGATTTTAAAAAGAACAATCGAGAGTAGGCATATTAACTCGAATATCTTAGATAGTATTAAACGAGTTACTAAATTTAATATCAAAAGAGATGTTAGTTGTTCTCTTCCATAAGAGAATTTTGGATTTTTCATACTCCTTTTATTTCTTACATCCGAATTCCTATTGTAGACTGTAAGCATGCAAGGTGATACTCCTTTTTTTTTTTTTTTTTAAGAATCTGACCTAAGAAGATTCAGAGTTTCAGGGAAAATAGTGCACATCGCTAAGATAGGATGTTGTGTATAATCTAGGTAAACTTTAATTTCTTCATTAGCAAAATGAAAACATCTACTGTTGGGTTGTACAAATTAAATTATGTATGTAAAATACTTAGTATATACTAGCAGCTCAGTAAAGGATAACTATTATTATTAACGTCAGTTCATCACTTCTAGGGTCCTAGGACCACATGTGTAAATGTTTATCAAGTTTTTTCCCTCAAAGAAGAGCTTTTTTTCCCCACCAAAAATAGCAGTATGAACTTCTCTTTCCCATGCTCTTATTGGGAGGGTAGCAATAGAAATGATTTGAGTCTAGGTAGGCCAGTTCTAAACAGATGAAGTATGTGACAGCTAATGTACTACAATTTCAGAATTTCAGAGCTGTATTAACTCAGATTTCTCTCTCTCCCTCTGTTTGGTTCTAATAATTGAAATTACACTTTTAAAAGTGTTTCTTCCTATTAGATTATTAAGAGATCGTCCCAGTTTATATATAAATATTTCTGAAAGATATAATGCATTTTTTAATCAATAAGTAAAATCTTATTAAGAAACAGAGCAGGATGAATACTACTCTCTGAAAATGGAAATAAATACAGTTATAGTCATTTATTCATTCGGTCATTCAATTAATATGTACCAGCTATATGAAAGGCACTGTGGACAACAGGAAAAAGATAGATATAATTCTCACCTATGGAATTTACAGTCTAGGGAAACCTATACTGTCTTCTGTTTGAAGAGAAACTCAGAATCTGGGTGTTTTCTGGGAAAGGCAGGAGGGGCCACACAGACCATCCTGGGCAGCCAGGAGGCAGAATGCAGAAAGCGTCTGAAGTCAAGGCAAAGGAGAGGGCTCCAAAAACCATAAATGAAAGACAAAGTGTGCCTACCACATTTGAGGCAGACAAACCATTATTGCAGTGAGATTTCAGTTTTTCTACTACTCACTGTCTAAATTAGAGTCTGTTGACAAATGCCTTTCTCTGAATCACCCACCTGCCACTGGCAGCTCTAATTACAGTGAACTACCTCATTCTGGCTGGTGTGACTGCAGAGCAAACACCAATAATTTAAACGAAGTAAGGGGTGTGTCCTTATTTATCTTCTTGTTCCTCCTATTGTATTTTTTTTTCTTAGATAAAAATGTATTAAAATAATGAACCTCTTCCCTCATGACCTGTTTTCCTTTAGTCTGACTCAGAGAACATATTGATTAGAGATATTATTAGTCTGTCTTCATGAAAATAACAGCATATATATATAGGTCTATTCAACTTAAAATAATTTAAAAACTAAAACTACCTGAATTTTGGTGGGACTAATAACATGTTTTATTTCCCATAAAATACTAATGTACATTGTGGGGAGCCCCTCCCAAGCTAACCCACAAAGACATTCTTAACCAATAAAAGGCTGACATAATGAAAACTAATAAGATGCAGTGCTTGTGTAACATAACTAAGTAAAATACAAATGAAATAATTTATGAAATATATGTTAAAATAATATATGAAATATTTATTTAAATGAATGTTTAAATAACTTATGAAATATTTATATATTTTATGAAATATATATAGAGAGAAAATCTTCAATAACAAAGCTCAAAGAAAACCAAGTTTCAGTTGAGTTAGGGAATTAGAGACCTTTGCATAGGTTATAGGCAATTTTGAAGACTTTGTAGTCTCCTGGCACTTTTCCTCTTTATTTTAAATTTCTGTTGTTTTCTTTCTGGGTGTATGTATTTTGCTCATGTAATTTACTTATCGGCAGTGAATTATTTTCTGACTCATATGACACACAAATAAAGAAGGGTTTTCTGAGATATCTTGACAAGGATTGGAAGATTGAAAGAGGAGATGGAGTAAAGAGGATGTATATTGATCTGTGAGAAAGAAAAAGTGTGAAGTAAAATTAACTGGATTCTTCTGTACCTTGGGCCCCACTGGCCAGGACAATCTTATGGCTATCTGACTGGACAAAGGTGATGCCAGCTATAGAGGGTGGGCAGAGAGGGAGTCTGAGTGTAAAAAACCCCTTAGTGTCAGATCATCACAAATCAGATATCTACCACTCAGCAAGTAACTGTGCAACATGGCTGTAATACATCAAAGTACCATAGTGAGGGCCAGATGGTTGATGGGAAAGAGAGGTTGATGGGAAAGAGATGGGAAAGAGAGGCCTGAAAAATCAAGAGTGATTTTTTTTTTTTGCCATCTAAGGATATTCTGTAAACAAAGACAAGGATGATGGGACTGGGTTAAGAAAATTCAAAATGACATTGCACAGAAAAATAAAAAGAACAGCATTTTTTTTTCTCTTATCTCTCTTTTATAAGCTAATGGATTGTAAATAGCAAATTTCAAAGTAGCCCGTAGAATCAGGAAGAAAACTGAGAAAATTCCATGGATGACCCATTCTCCTATGAACCTAAAAAGACTTGATATGGTTTCCACAAAGAAAGTCTTGAAGAAGATAACCCCCACAAAATTCTTAATCTCCAGAAATGTGGGTGATGGAGACAGAAGTGAACACCTCCAGAATATTTCCTTCATGAGATTTTTGTCTTTTCTTTGATATTGCCATTTGGTTTTTTAAATATATTATTTCCAAATGTTAATTATATTTCAATTCTGACAACTCAATGATCAAGTCCCTTTCCTTTCATGTCAGATACTGCTAGGGAAGAGAAACCAACAAATGAAACTTTGAAATGCTTAATGCTCTGTTGTGGGCATTAAGCATTAAAGAAAATTTTAAATAAAGCAAAAAGAAAACAGATGAGTGACAATCATGACTTATTTGTCTCAAGAAATAAGTGGGTTGAGAATAGCAAGTAAAGACTAATTCTATATTTGCAAAGTGAGATAGTATTTGAACTCTGGAAAAGTGTCTTTCTTTTTTTTGAAGAAATCAAAGACTGTCTATACAAACAACAACAAATACATGGATGTTGTTGCAGACACTCCATGGTATATGCCTTTACAAAAATAATATAGATCACATTACTAGTGGTGCAGCAACCCATAGGAGAATATTCTATTCAGTGCCTGCAGCGCCAGCTCAGGAAGAGAGCTCGGGTTTATTTATGAAAAGCATCATGTTATGATGACATAAAGGCTTGTTAACATGTGTGCAGAGACAACTCTCTGTTCCTCTGTACTCATGTTTCCCCTTTTCCTTTTAGCGACAGAAGCCCCAAGTTTTAGCTGGTCACAGTCTATCTAGGTAGAGACTGCCCTGTACCTACGTGTGGCTGCGTGACACAATCTGCGCTAATAGTATATGAGCGGAAATGCTGTGTGGGACATCCAGGCCATGTTCTTAAGGGTGGAGAAGCTTTTCCAAGGCTGCCTCTTTCCTCCTTCCTGCTGGCTGGCAAATGGTGACATCTGAAAGCTCTGGGTAACAGTGGCAAGGCCACCCTGCCATCCCTGGGCCACTCATTCTGAAACGTTGTGTGAGAGAGAAATGAACTTCTTTCTTTTGAAGTTGTTGTTGTTTGCTTGCTTTGTGTATCTTTTTGTTGTTGTTGTTGTTTTGTTATAGAAGCTTTGCCTGTATCCTAACTATAATGATTAGGTTGTTTGTTCAGTCTGATTTGAATTTGGGAAGGCTGAAAGCTCTGACATGGGACAAGAGTAAGCAAGAAAGAATCAGATCAGAACGACCCCAGTCAGTGGTGACACTATTCATTTAACAAGTTATGTCCAGGGGCAGAATGTCCTCCTAGATATCCTTCCCCTGCTGCCCACAGTATCCGGCTTAATGTGACTTCTCAATAAATGTTGGTTGCATTGATATTGTTGAATTAATGTTGTTGAATGTAAATATTTTACTAATGTTCATGACTTAACTAAGTTTTCTGTTAACAATATTCAGGTTGTTTTTTTAAAAAAATTAGTGATTTCTCTGTGGATAGGAGCCGTGGCAGTGTTAACTAGCTCTGACCACAGCCTACAGTGCTTTATTCTCTTTCTCTGTGATTGCTGATAAATTATCTTAGATTTCCTCCTCCTCTTCCTGGCACGCACGCAAATACACACACACACACACGCGAGAACATACACACAATTTCATAATGGTTCTCCTCTCCTGAGCATCTATCATGTGGCAGGGGTTTAATATATTTATAATTTATCTAATTTTATAACAATTCTGCATTGTAGGTGGTATATTTTCATTTTACACATGAGAAAACTGAGGCCCATGATTGTAATCGCATAGCTAGGATTTAAATCCACAGAACAATACTGTACTGTATGTTTGAAAGTTGCTAAGAAAATAGATCTTAAAAGTTATCATAAGAAAAAAATTTGTAGCTGTGAGGTGATGTAAATTAACTAAACTTATTGTGTTGATCATTTTGCAATATATACATATATAAATCATGTCATGTACCCTAAACTGATACAATGTTATATGTCAATTATATCTCAATAAAACTGAGAAAAAATAAATCCACAGATTTATTTATTGGTGCCAAAGCCCAAATTCTTACTCCATAGCCCTATGTCCCTGAGAGAAAAGAAATGTTATCTCTTGTCATTTGTAGTTAATCTCATCTCTCTACTCCTACAAACAGACCTGCTATTCTTATTGGTCAACAAACATCAGGATATGCAAGACTGAGAAGAAGCTGATAAATGACACTTTTAGGTCTGTCTATCATTATTTCTTCATTGTGCCATAGTGGTGAATCCTTTATAGGTGCCCAGTTCTGCAACTGAGTACGTGGAATCTGCTGGCTGCCCCTCTTTCTAGTTTGGTTTCATTGTTCTGATGTGAACCTGGTGTCTCTCTTTGGACTCCCCTTTCTGCCTCTTTCCTTTGGCTACATACCACACATGCAACCCTCCGTACAGCTAGACCCTATCTAGAGAATATTCCTTTAGAACTGGCATTTCTGGTGTCATAAAACTCCTAGGTCAGATCCATCCTGTTTAGTTGGTGCTGAAGGATCTTTCTCATTTGATCTCTTTGTGGGATAAGAAAACAAAATCATAGGACAGGTGAGATGAAGGTTAAGGGAGGAACTCAGGGAATGGAAGGAGACGAGGTCACATAATTTTAGCCAATACATAGTGGTGTGCAATAAATACTTATTAAATATTTATTTGTCTCAAACTATAAAGGTTCTAGAAAAAAAGGTCATTTACCAATCAGAAGGGGCGTCTCTCCTTTGTCATTTTTGGTGTTTGGCCATACTCCTTTTTCTAGTAAAGCTTTTACATTTTCCACCAGACCAGCTTTGATTGCCAAAGTCAAGGGCGTTTCTCCATCAGCGGTCTTGAACTCCCAGAGTGTCTTATAGGATGCTGAGATGGGAAAGTGTTGTGTAAAGTTAAAAATCTTTACTTAAAGGATATCTCATAGATCAGAATAATGCAATATCATCCATATTAAACTGAACAAAGTGAATCGATGAAAAAGGAAAGACTAAAAGAAGATGTGAGTAAAGTTTATCAAATGATGGTCAGTATAAATAGATGAACATGGACTTGCTAATAAAGTTGATCGCTGAAAAGCCAACATCTGTTTCAAGGTGCTCTTTTTTTAAAAAATGGGTTGTAAATTCGCATTTCTGGATAAGTTGTAAAACAGCTCCCCAATCTTTAATATTGTTTTTTAAACTGCACTCGAAATTGGTTTTTGCCAAATGAAGTCTGAGAATGTGGGAATGAGAATGTGTTTAAATGAATATATCCTGTCGGAATGTGTTTGAAATACTGTATTTGATATCACCTTCTATATCTGTCTATTTGCCTATTGAGCTGTCTAGCTGGCTGGGTGGTTAATTATCAAGTATCTATCATCATCTTCTAGGACATAGAATTAGAGGCAACACTAAAGGTTGAAAGATAGGGCACTCTCAAAGTGTTTTATAAGATGCCAAGCTGTGAAAAATGCTGTTTTAGAACATGAAAATTATTATTAATTATTATTAATATTTAACCCTGGGTAAAATTATCATGACATTTATTCATGCATACATTATAAAAAATTTAATGTACTATAAGGACAAATATAGTAAGTACTACTTGTACTATATAATAACTTTTTGGAAACTTTTAAGACATAGTTCAGCATGAAAAATTAACAACCAATTTCCAAAGCAAAAAGATTTATAATCAAATCAATTAACATGTGATACATATACACACTTTTATCACTTTTCTGTAATAAGCACATCTTCCTGCCAACCTGTGTTATATTCTTAGAAGGATGCAAAGGGTGAACTTTAACCTCAAAAAATGTGCCAAATTTTGTAAACTAAGTTTAAAACATAGGTATTGCCTTTTCTCAATTTCAAATAAACTTTCATTCTCTCTCTCTCTCTCTCTCTCTTTCTTTCTTTTGCTTTTGATGTTCACTGAGAACACGCCCCACTTCTACATTCTTGTTTCAGCTCTCTTACCATCCAGAACAATTTCAAGTACTTGCTGAAAGGGTTGAACAACAGCTTCATGCAATGGAAACCATCCTTTTTCATCAGCTTCATCTAATGCATATTTATATTTCACATACTCCTGGAGCTCAAGAATGTGACCTAAATTAAAGACATGAACCGATAACAAATCTCCGTCTTGGCAAGATAGAATCTCCAGTTTATCCCAGTGTGGGCAATACACTCATTTACCTTGTTTTATGGCCTCTATAAGTTTTCTGTTTTGATCACTTAGTGGTACAAATCTGCCAGAGAAAGGAAAAATGAGCCATATTTATAAAAGTGGTATATTCCAAGGAACCAAAAATTTTCATTTATATTGAGCTTTTGTATATAATCTTAATCAAGATCTAGAGGATATGTACACAACTGATTTTATCCCCTGTAAAAATGTCAGATACAGAGTATATTTATGATACAGTAAGCCTAGGAACATTAGTGAAAATGGCAAAATACAGGATTATAATGCTTTCTCTGAAATGAGTGCTAAGCAAGGAAAAAGGAGTAAAAAACTGGAGTCAGAGTCAGAAGAGCTGGGTTCAGGTTTTGTGATTTCATGATCTCGGGGAGGCCAGTTAGCCTGTCTGAGTCGTCACTCCTCATCTGTAATATGATGGGATTGACAAAGAAGATCACTAAGGCTTCTTCCTACTTCAAAAATTCTATGTTCAGTAATGTTTCTCACTTTGAACTCAATAACTACCAATTAATGATACCTTATTTGAGAGCTTATGAACCACACTGCGTGTTAGTCTTAATCAACTCATCCACAAGGCTGAGCATTTACTGAACAAACTTCTAGTCACCAGCCCAGTAAGTCATGATGTCACTTCTCAAGGCAATTCTTTGACGTTTGTGTTTATTTAAAGGAAACAAAGTATTTCATAACAAATGGACTTGACTCTACCAAGCAGAAACATTTGCTGGCGTTCCAGGGTTGTAAATGTCTTCCTGGGAACTCTAAACTTCTAAAATCTGTCTAAGATAAGGGAAAAATTAAAGAGACCAGAAATTTAAATGCAACATGTCCATATTTTAAAGCTCAAAAGCAATCATTTTTTAGCATTAAATCTATTCAAAATATTTAGTGCTAAAAAGATTTAGTACTAAATTTCAGAATACAGGATTGTAAATATTACAATAGAACATAAAGGTAAACTAAAATTTATTTTTGTCAGAAGAATAATGTATGTTGCTTGAGAAATTTACTTTTGCAATTTTAGACTCTCTAAACACTGCTAACATAAAACATCAATTTTATGCATAATTTGTTAACTTCTGTCATTTGAATAGTAGATCATGAAATAGGCTCTGGTTTATATATTATTTTGTCATACATAATAAAAGCACTCAACTCTTTTCCCATTCATTGAACTTATGGACTAGCTGGGTTAGTATTATTCTTCATAGTTAAAGATTCAAAAATGGAATATATTACTTGTAAAAGTTGCCTGAGTCAGTAGCAGAATAGGGTCTAGAAAACACAGAACAGACCTCTATGTACTTATTTATATATCAGTTGTGTAAACTGTACATACAAATTTGTTAAAGTTTATTATCCTTTTGATTCTATATTAATTTAGAAAATAGGCGATCCTGTGCAATTGAATTCAACTAGGGATTTCCCCTCTAGGCTATTTCTATCTTGCTCCTGAGAAGGGGATGTGTGGAAGATCAGACTGCTAACCCTACATGCAGTGGCCCTTATAAAGCTGTCCAATTCTCTGCCAGAAAAGAAGGGTGAGCATTTTCCTAGAGGAGGAGTCGGGAAATGTCATTCATTTCATCTTATGCCAAAATGAATACCATAAAGAAATTTTGTTGAGGATAGTCAATTTGATCATTACCTTTCAGGATAAAATACAGTCTTGCTGGCTTCAATGGATTCTTGAATACTGAGCTGAATGTCGTAACTTGTAAGATGATCTTCTTCGGGGTCATCATTAGAATCCATGACTGAATAAAATTTTGAAAGAAGCAATTTCTTATCATCAACAAATGGCACAGAACACAATACAGTTAACATGAAAGATGCAAAATGAAAAACTAAAATGCGTTCACCTTTCTTCATTTAACAAAGACAAATGCGGTTAACATTTTAATTCATATTATATATGAAGCCCATTTTAACTTTTGAAATCTTTAACTACCTGCCCTTTGGGTGTCAGTATTTTCTAATTTTGATTTTCTTTTCAGCAGTGGCTACAGTTGGGTTCATAACAATTCACTTTTTCCATACTCCTGACTTAAAATAATTTTGGTTCATGTTTCCTCAAGACATTGTTTACACAGCACGTTAGAAGTTTAAAACTCTAACCTGGAGGAAGTGAGACAGTGGCAGGAATAGAGAACGGTGAGCCTTTCACATTCTTTACTCTTTATTCTATGTCTGCTTTGTTTGCTTATTTGTTGATTAATTCCTTTTCTCACACCAGCAATAGTTTGAGTTGGCTGCCTCGAAATGCACTTGTTTCTGTGTTTGTGTTTAACTTCTAACAGGCTCTAGGCTTTTTGAGGTAAAGGGCTCTACCTCATCTATCTCTACTTTGCATCCCCTTCTATTCTAAAAGGTGTTTGGCACAGGGAAACTTCAATGAATGTATTTGTTAAATTAAACTAGAGAGAAGAGGAGAAAGTCACGCCTAGCCTTGCCCTCGGGAAATTTGAAGAGTTAGGATAGGGACCATCTTAACTTTATCCCCAGACCAGAGACCAGGCCTCCTACAGGTTCTCCATTTCTCCCTCTGGCACAATTATATCCATTATAAGCCATGGCTCTAGACCTGCCCATCTCCTCTGAAGATAATACACAAAATATAAATTATTTCTTGTTGTCTTAGTGCTTTCAAATATCAAATTAGAAGAATGAGTGTCTCTCCCCATACTATTGCATCAATTGTTCTATCTTAGAAAATTTAGTAAGAGTAGAAATGCAAATAGTTCTACAGCTAGGCTGACTGACCAATATGAAATTATTTTTGATTAGTGGTACTTTTCAAGCCAAAATGTTATTATTTACCTGAAATTTTACATTGTGTGATGTATCTTTTCAAGGCGAAAAAAAAAACAAAACCAGTATCTTGTGGGCAATTTCCAAAACACAGTTGATACTTGCTTTACCTCTTCTCGTTGTTCAAGGTTAGATAAGTTCAAACTTTAAGGACGGTTCTATACATGCTTATAGCCAAGGTCCCTGCCCTGTGCACAGACTGCACACAAACTCAATGGCATCATTTTGATTTTATTGTTCTGCACCACTGGCCTTACTATTACCTTGAAACAGAAAGGAGAGAAGAGTGACAGTGTTTGGAGACTGCCCATGAGATAGTAGCAGCTCTCCACCAGGCATGTTTCCTCGCACCATGATACCTCACTCTACCCAAAAGGCCAACGTGTGCCCTAGGGATTCTAGTCAACAAACAGATTTAAGTGGTGTTTTATTTTACTCTTTTATTGTTTACTGGTCCATTGTTTCTCTCCTCCCAGCAGAACGTAATCCAATAAGAACAGAGAATTTGTATCACCAGCGCCTAGATCTCATGGTTCACGGTCTTTAAATGTATTTCGAAGGAATTAATCAACGACTGAGTCGATAAATGAACACTAACTTAATCTAGGCTCTGCTTTATTCTTAGAACTGATTATTACTAAACAAATTTGATTGCCCACTCTGTGTTTGGCTTCCTTTTTCTCACTTTCGTGCTTCTATATCTTCTTCCTCCTCATTCTCCACGCCCTTCCAGCAGTTCCACACCCATGGCCCACCCTGCCTCAAACCTGGCTCAAGCTGTCCTTTCTATAGAAGCCCTTGCTGAAATCCTCCAATTCCTCTCTGGCCTTTCTTTATCTATGATTATATCCTCTTATATAATATTTTCCCCACATCTGGATTTACGCTCATTTTGTGTGCTCTGCAAGTTTTACACATATTTTCGCTTTGTATTCTCACTCTATTAGTAGAGATACTCTAGGCCTAGGAACACTCTGAGTGGAAAAAATGCTTTCTTTTCATTTATGTCTTCTTTCTTTCCTTCCACCATTCATCAACAATAGCAAATGGTTGTCCTCAGTGGTCACTGGAAAAAATCTGTTGACTCATTAGTAATGGAAAAGCACTGAGTCCTTCAGACAGTACAATTAGATGATGAAGTTAAAATTGTGGCATTGCCTGTTGCCTTGCCACTGATATCACTGTGATGATAGGGGATTGCATGGCTCTGGGATTAGTAACGAGATACAGAGCCTTTCACCTATTTAAATCATCAGTTTAACTATAACCCTGTTTGAAATGTAGGCTTCCAATATATGAGATACCACAGACTCCTTGGAGAACTGAGTTGGTCTGTTAGAAATTTATTTTTTTAAATATCCTTTTAACTGTCATCCAGAAGGAAGTCATCTAAGACTCTTAACTGTTTTGTATCTCTAATGACAGCCAGATAGAAATTGTGAGAAAACTCTTACTACATTGAACAATATCTGCTTGATACAAGCTGTTGCCAGCTTTTTGCTGAAAGCTTGGGATGAAGTGAAGTTCTGTGTACAGGTGCTCCTTGGACAGACAATCAAAAGAGCATCATTGGAATAGATCTAGAGACATCAAGATGCAATGAAAAGAGCTAGAAGAGAATTATTTATCTGTATCTCAAGGTTAAAATGACCAGGACTCAATCCCAATTGAAGGCTGGCAACAGTCTATTGCCAGCCTTTATCTGAAATTATTTTTAAGTGAAGTACCAACCAGGTATCTGAGGAAGTCCAAATGATATTTTGACATCCTTTAGGACCCATTCACAGGTGCCCCAGTTCTTAGCCTAGAAAGATTAAGTGACCTTTTCTAAATAATAGTTTGCCAATTTTGTTCTGAAGAAGTCCACTAGTAAGATTTACTTATTCTCCATAGGTAGCTGATTAACAAAATAATTGCAACAATCATATTGGACAGTAAGCCCTTTCATTTAAACCACTGGTTAACCTCACGTTGGGCCAGGAACATATTTGATGAAAGCAATGGATTCTCTCTCCAAAGGGATGCAGGCTCACTCAAAATTTTGCATAAAATTTTAGAGAATTCCTGGATCCTCTGAGGCCCCCACATGTACCACAGGTAAAGAACCGTTTACATTAAGGATTTTCAAATGCTAAATGTATTATTCAGATATCAATAATTTTTAGTTTAGTTTACAGATGGGCTGAATAAAACCTTAGATTTAGGTAATGGGAAAAGGAAAGTTTGGTGATCAGGTAAGCTTTAGATGATCTTTGTTAATAACAATAGCCATAAATTATTGAACAGTCGCTTTGTTTCTGGCACTGTGCAAAGCACTTTGCATACACTGCCTTGTATTATAGATTCATTGTGTGTAAGTGGAAACTTAGGCTTCCAGAGGTTAAAAAACCCATCCAATGTCACAGAGCTAATAAGTAGAGTCTAGAAAAAACATGGGTGCCTTCGTTTTTGAAGGTTTTTCCGAAGCTGCAGGAAAACAACCCACGGTCTGTTGCCCTTAATAGAAAACACACTGATCTAACTCTGATCTAACAGCCAGCTCTCAATGACAATAACCTCCAAAAATAAAAAATAGCTTCCAGGAACACATAAATCTTTATCTTCGGCTTTGTACAATAAGGCTTTGTGTTGCTTAGGACTGTCTCACGTGTCCTAGACTTGCCTTCGTTCTGTACTTTTTGTTTTGGAGTCTAAACATTACTGTTACAATTTAGGATCAACATACCAGTTGGTGCCTAACTGAGGAGGCTGAGGCAATGTTGCAAGATATGATGCAGGAGTGAACCCGGCTACATGGTACCTCTCTGTATCGGGCTCTCTAAAATTACCTTCGATCAGTGATCCATGCTAAACACTGTACTGCTGATAAGTCTGTGAGGCTCCTCAGAGCATCTCTTGAAACATGGGCGCCCCCAAAGCACAGGACCAACTAAGGTCCTCCTTTTCCCTGAACCAGGGTGAATATGACTTTGTTCCCCATGAACTGTTAGTTTGGCTTACTTCCAACAACATCCAAGTCTGTTCATCTCACTCACCCTCACACTCTGTCTTGGCAAAACAAAATTGAAACCATCTATGTGGGTCTTAAACGAGGCTGGCCCTAAGAGTTCCCAGAGGTGCTTCCATGGTGCAAGGAAGGGCTTTGTGTCCATATCACACCATCCCCAACACCTGTCACTTCAGTGTAATTCTGTTACATTAGTAAGAGAATCTGTTCTTTAGGGCTTATTATTCCATCTTCCAGTGTCCCTTTTAAAATGCCAATAGTCCCATATTGGTCCCCAGTGTAGAACCAGAATCTCTTGGAGGAGGTACTGAGGGTGGCATGGGGTAGGAAAGATGGCAGAGGGTCTAAGACTGAGTCTGGTGGGAGGTGATGAGAGAGGATAAGAAAAGAGCAAAACAGTAAAATTTGGTTCGATTTACAGTTTTATATGAGGCTCGCCCAAATGCAAACCCTGAAGGACGTGCAGGTTCTGCTGTATGGAAGGTAGGGGAACCCTGATACTCAAAGTAAATTTTCTTTTACCTTGAAACTGCTATGGTCCTTAAGTGATGCGCTCATCTGCTTGAGGTCCCTGAGAGAATCATCAGTGCCTGACCTATCAGAGGAACAGCAATGGTTAAAGAACATTTTCATTTTTTGATTTTGTTAAGAAAATAGTTATTATATTAAAACAATACTCATCCTCATTTTTCTGCATTTTGATCATTCGTATATGTAATTTTAAAGATATACTGAAATCCATATAAATAAAATTTTGTTATAACTTTGGTTTTTATTTGGTGGCCACACACTTTTTTTTTTTTTTTCAGTATCCTCTAGCACAAAGTGGCAAATCAGATAAATGGCTTATTAGGCTGATTTCAGTAACAGAGTCAACGTGTTCCCAAGAGATTTTGCAGGGAGGTAAGTCTCTGTCAGAATTAGGTTCCACCCCACAGGCAAATGTAACTTTTATTTACAAGATATAAATTACAGCAATTCCCTCTTTGTGGAATTTGCCTTTAAATTAGAGAGAAATCCTATGGATGACAGGAAGAACTAGACCGGCATCTTCCTTAACAGCACAACTTGTTCTGCTGACAGACACACACACACACACACACGTGCACACACACACGATCTTAGTGCAGAAAATTAATGCAACTTTTATGTTGCCTCAAAGAGATACAACTCAACACTTTAGAACTGATATAAAAAGGAAAAATGGACATATTGATCTCTAGACACTAAGTATGATATCTGGCATGTGATAAGTATTCCCTGAATGAATGAATAATTGGATAATCAAATATACACTACTCATAAAATTAGCAAAATAATAAAATAAACTTGTGTTTTCTCTCTTCGTCATACATATGTTTTTTTCCAAGTTCACTTCCAATTTTGGGATTGTACTGAGGTTTCATTTCTAGGTAAATAAGCTAGAGACAAAAACTGTACTAGTTTTGCTTGTCTCTAGTTTCACATTATAAAATTAGACATTTTTACCTTCTGTTATTGATTTCCAAGTTAAATTCAATTATGTTAGAGATGTAGGAAGATGCAATGATAGTTTCTGAAAACGACACACACAGAATTGGAAGGAGCTTTAGGTTTACGAGTATGTGGATTTCTACGGGAATATAAACATAGAATAGAAAAGAATAGAGCAAGCATGGTCCATAAAAAGGTAATGTATTAATAGATGTGCCCTTATCACAAGCTAGTATGATAATATGATTTTCGAAAAGCTCTACCCTTTGCCTATAATTCTAACTCTAGGAATCTATTTTATAAAAATAATCAGATGTGTAGAAAAATACTTTTACATGAAAATGTTCATCTCAGCCACGTTTAAACTGCCAAAACATAAGAAACAATATAAAATGTCCAGCAAGAGGAAATTTGCATAAGACTTTATTGTATACCCAAGCAATGGGAATCTATACAGTTAAAATTCATATCCTTGAAGGATATTTAATGCCATGGATAAAGTATAATGTATGAGAATAATATTCATTTAATCGAATATGACCAACCACTTTGAAGGAACTAAGATTGATTTTATAGAGCCAAAGCTCAAAAAGCCTTCCCAAAAATGAGCCTAGCATCTGACCCCCAGGCTGAGCCTTACAGGTGGTGAGATAGGTCACTTCCTGGCAAGTCAGGGACCTTGGTGACACTGAGAAGAGACAAAATTGCCCAAATTTATAGTCAAGCAGGTGAAACCTGGTGGAGAGAGTTTCTTGGTTTGGGGACATACAGAAATCTGAAAGACGCCTCTATTTGCCTGAGTCATCCAAGCCATGACTTCATTATCTAAGTTATTGTGTCTGTCTGCAAGAGATCAAAAGTTTATTTTCCACTAATTAGTGAATGGCAGCCCCTGAGGAAGGTGACGCAAGTTACAGGTAATAAAATAGCTACATTTAGTTTATACAACTGAGTTATAGGGCGAGTAAAAGTGTTTTGACAACATTCATTAGCTATAATAGCAATAAAAATTAAACATTTCCAGGCCATAATAAAAAGCAATGTATGTGTATATATATGTATTTGCATACACACATACATACATATACATATACACATATTTTCTCATTTAAAATATTTAAAAAAATATTTTTACATGGTGTATTTTGTTTGACACGGCTGAAGTCCCTGTCTGGTGCTCAAGTTAAATCTTTTTCCATTTGAAAATCACTCAAACAATATATGAGTCATTGCATTTCTTCATATCTTATTTTGAAATCATATACAGGCCACTGATTTCTTTCTGCTGGAGACAATTGAGTAGTTGAAACCTCGTTCAAATCCTGCCCTCCTAGATTAGCTGCCTCATTAGCCGTGTCTGACGTATTGCAGGTGGTCAATAAACATTACCTGTTATTGGTCTGTGATTGAATTCCTCTGGAATTGGGAAGTAGAATTTTAAAGATTGTTTGGCAGTTTTAGCTCTATTCCTCACCCTTGAGCAGGCACTCTGACACATTCATTATTTCCTTCTCCTCCCTTTTCTATAGAATTACCAGACTTCTGGGTTAAAGACCATTAGGTAGCCTCACCTGTAAATTCCATTTCCAATATGCCGAACAAGTAATTTTCCAATCTCAGCTTGCACAACAAAGTGACAAGAAGCTTACTATATCCCCACACTCCCCTTCTTCTTTAGCCAGTCTTAACAATTACGGGAAACATTTTAGTTAATTCCTTCTACTCAAATTATTGTTCTATGATCCTAGTTCCATCCCTCAAAGTCGCCCTGAGAAAATGTGGTTTCTCTGCCCAGGAAGGCTGTCAGGTCTCCGCTGAGCCTTCTCCTCCCAAGGCTGGACCACTGTTCTTCCTGTGATGCGGGTTCACCCCTCTCCACCATCTCAATTGCTTTCCCATAAACACACCCTTTTATCCTTCTATTTTTGAACGTGGCCCTGGACCATGGGCTCTGATTGTAGCACAACAGCTGCAGTCAGACAAACACCATATTAAGCAGGTATGACCGCCTTGCTTTTCCTTGACACTATTGACCTGTTAATTTATACCAAAAGCAGATGAATTTGGGGGCTATTATGTTACACACTTGATTCAGATCCCTGTTTTCCCAAACTCTGCAGAATTGCTGTGCAATTTTGTGCTGGACTCTTTAATTTTATCACATTTTATTTATTTATTTTTTAGATTTGACCTTTATTTCCGCTTGCTAAGATCTAATGCATTTTCTGTCTCTCCAAGTATTGTTCTAGTTGCAGTTCTATCTCCACGTCTTCTATATGTCCATCTGCTCCATTGATAATGATAAATGTTTAACAGAAATTGGCACAGGACTGAGGCCTTCAGGTTGATACTGATCTATATATTTATTCAGCTACAAATCTACCCAAAGACACCAACACCTAGTATTAATGTCTCCTTTTAGATAACAAGACCATCCTCAAGACATACTGTGAAATACCTTGTTGGAATACAGAGGCACAGTGTTTAGTACATTTCTGTTTTCTATTAAGTCAAAAAGACAAGGGAGAGTTGATCTACTAGTTCTCAGTGATTACTATTTTTTCCCTAAGGGGTTTCAGAACATTCTATTCACTCATTCAAAAATAGGTATTCAGTGTCTGCTCTGTTGTAGTCATAGCACTAGACATAAGACAATAAGGTCTGTGCCCTCAGGAAGTTTGCTGCCTTTAAATAGTGCATTCTAGACTTTTCCCCCAGAAACAACATCCATCTATCCCCTTTCTTCTAAGGTTTTGCAGACAGCCAAGCACAAAGCAAGGTCCTCAATAAATATTTGTTTTATTGAATTTAATAATTATTATAAGTAACATCTATTGAGTGCTTACCTGTGACATGCATCACACTAAGTACATTAAATAGATTATGTTATTTAATTTCTACAACATGCTTTCTCCCCATTATACAGATGAGGAAACTGAGGCACAGAGTATTTAGGTAATTTGCCCAAGCCAGCACAAGTAGTGAGTGGTAGAGATGCGGATATAAATATAGTCTTTTGACACTAGATCCACATAGGCTTAACCACTACAGTATGCTCTAATTAATGACTCAGCTACTCTCATGAGATTAATGAACAGAGGGTAATTCTAATATTCATAAGCCTCAGAAAAATTTTCAAAAAGGATTTAAGCAAACAACTAGCAAACCTATCAAACAACTTCAGTGGAATATATTTTAAGTAAATTTTCATTTGAAAGCAAGGTATTCCCATAAAAACAATAGAAATCTAAAATTATATTTTACGATAATAACTTAATGTTCTCAGCACAAGGCAGTGTTAGGACTTGTCTACATCACTGCTATTTCATAGAAATCATTTCATTTTAGTTGCAGAAATTTCCTTAGAAATTATCTCTTCATTTAACAACCAGATAAGTAATGGTATCAGATAAATTCTAAAGACTTGACAACTTCATGATTCTATGACTTAATTTGCAGAAGTGAATTTTCAATTCTATTGAGTTCCTTTTCTTCATCTGATTTAAAGAAAATTAAAGGAACTTTTTGATCTGATTATAAAGCATCCATCTTTTGCTACAAGTGATGAAAAGGCCTTGATACAAATTTATTTTAATTATTGACAAAAATAATTTAATTTTTTGTGTCAGAAATCAGGGCAAGCTAAGACCCTTTTGGGATTCCACAGTGTGTATATCGACACTTCCTATAAACATATTTATTCTTGATCTGTTTTTCTCATGATATTATTTTTCGTTATGTTTAAAAAGTATGCAATGGAGTTAACATTCTATAAACAAACAAAAACAACTCTGTAATTAGAAAGGCCCTAGACAGGCAAACCCACAGTTGATCAATTGGAAAGAAAGTAATGAGATGCTACCATAACACGTACTTCAATCTGTTTAAAATAGTCCCAATCCTAAATACTTAATAAGCTGGTTGGTGAGGGACAGATCAAATATTTCATAATCTCACCTTTTGGAATGATCGTCTTGTCATTCTTATCCAGGGCCTTGCCTTCCTAAACTAGAGGAAATGCCTTGGAGCCCGTGTGTTCCTCTGCGTATCTAAAATTAAGTGCCCAGTTGGTGGCTAAATTAAGATCTGACCTCGTACAACTGAAACATAAGTGGTTCCTGGCA